TTGTTTGTTTTGCTCAAGGGCTAGCAAAAGCTAAGTGTAAGGGAATTTGATAGGAGCATATTTATGCGACTTAGTTAGCTTGTTTTCTTGCATTTTCATAGCTAGTTTCTACTTATTATAGTGTTTTAAGCTATTTTCATGTGTTTGTAGGTCCAAATGACAAAGTTGGCAAGAAAGCGCATTTTGGAGCATTTTAGAGCAGTTTTGGGCCAAGAATGGATAGCACATGCATGGAGCAAGGTGGATGGATGTTTTTGAAGTTCAAGAGGCTAGGAATGTGCTAAAAAGATGAAGAAAATAAATTCAAGACAAAGAAGATAAGGAATCAACTCAAAAGAAAGAAACATTATCCAAAACCTTATCCAACCTTATCTTATCCAAACTAACCTTAACTTATCTTATCCTATCCTAATCTTATCATACCTTAAATCCAGCTGCAAGGGGAACTAACTACCTGATTTCTAGAAGTCTTGTCCCTATCCTACAAAGGTGGAGCCTCATTCCTTTCTAGAAGACCTTGTGTTCTTTTTAGAAACCTGCCACAACATGTTTCTTCTAGAACCCTATTTTGGTGCCGCACCTTAGCCTTTCTAGAATCCCTTTTCCTAGTTTGTGCCGCACCCTATATCCTTATTCCTGATGGTTTTTTATGTGTAATCCTTTATCCCCTTGGTTTCTGCTAAATCCTAACCTTTTTCTTTATGAATTTGAAGTGCTAAAATCCCTCTCCTATGCTACCTTTATGCCGTGAGTTATAGACCATAAATACATCATTATGTTGCACAAATCAGACCACCACCCTCCACATAATTCGACATCACCATCTACCATACAATTTACGCCAAAACACAGAGATTCATCAAGTGCTTGCAAGGAAGGAAGGAGAAGAATGAGCTTTGTGCAGTGGCTTGCAACCCAATGAGGGTTCGAATCTGCCATTGGAGTTGCTGGTACGTTCCTGGTTTTTTCTATTCTTAGATTTGCTTCAATGTTGCTTTTAATTTGGTTTTATGTTTTCAAAGACATGAGGAACTAATTTCTTTTTAGTTGGAGGTGAATTCGAAGCCATGACTATATGTTTTATATGAATTGATTACATTCGGTTATTGTTTCTTGTGTCTTGAATGTGATTTACTTATCTGCGTTATCAAAACTTGTTTATGTATGTTAATTGAGGATGCATACTTGATTTGCATGCATGAACTTAATGCTAGAGTATAAGGGAGTTTCACCTAATCGTTATGAACTTATATTCACAAGTAGTAAAAGTCACTAGTCATGATTGTGTTAAGTGAATCCTAGGCAGGAGTATCATGCTTTTCATAGTTACGAATGTCTCGTCAATGCTTATGGTTTTCAAAGAACTTAATGACCTTTGATATGTCTTTCTATCATGCTTTTCATAGTTAGGGAACTTGATAAGGATAATTTGGTTGTGATGCGTTTCCCATCCAATTCAATGAGTTAAGGAAAATCTGATTGTTAATTTGTGTTGTCACGGTTAACTTGGGGTGTTGTCATTCATGGTCTAAGGGAACAATATTGGAAATTGGTTCATATGCATATGTCATATGTGGAGAAGGATCCTCTGGCTAAGTTTTCACCATTCAAATCACCTAATTTACTTTGTTTTGGAATCTGTTTAGTTTAGTTAAATTTCATCAAAATCAATCCCCTTTTTAATTAAGTGTCTTAGATTAGTTAGAAAAGTGTTTAAATCTGTCCAATTTAGTGTTTTGAGTCTTACTAGTCTTAAATTCATCCAAATAACTCCCTAGAGTTTGTTTTGAGTCTTTTTAACTTAGTTTTGCTGTTTTGAGTAGTTTGAGTCAGTTTTAAGTCTTAAGTGTCTAGTTTTTTGTTTTTGAGTCTAGTTGAGTGTTTCTAAGTCTAGTTTGGTATTTTTGAGTCATATTTGTGTAGATTAGCAGCCCTAGTTAATCCCCCGTCTAGAACGATCCCTACTTACATCTTTGCTACAATTGTGAACAATAGGGTTTAATTTGTGTGTCAAGTAATTTTCACAATAAAGAAGAAAGCCGAAACTGGTTGGTTTGGCCTGGAAACTTCCCGAGCTTCGTTTAGCTTCGAATCTCAACTAAAATTAGCCTATAAATAGTCAAATTGAAGCTAGAAAGATAAGAAAGAAAAGGAATGTGATTATACCGTCATGGTCTCTCGCCGTGGCCGAAGATGGCTGAAAAAATCATTTAAAACCTATGGTTCACGCTAGAATCCAGATTTCATTGAGTTCCAAATCAAAATCACCAGAGAAGGCGATGGCTAGTCACAACCTGATGTTCATGTGCAACAAGTACAAAGAAGGAGTCAAAGCTAACATGAGGAGGAGTAAGGGACTCGTTGCCGTCCTTGGAGCTAGCAAGGGCGAGGGTGGTGTGTCTCGATGAAATGAAGCAGAGAAGGTGATCATAGGAGCTTGGAGGTGTTTTTCCCCCATTTATGTTCGACAATTCTTGACCATGGTCTGGGTGGTGAAGCTCGCCAGAGGAGTGGCGAGTGGTGGTTGCAATAATGGTTGTGGGGTGCTCGAAGAAAGGGAGAAAATGACGAAAAGAGATAAGAAAATGAGAGAGGCTGAGGGAAGAGAGGGCCGAGAGAGAGACAAAGTGAGATGGCAGCAAGGGATCCAAGGGATCTGAAAGGGGGCACGGGAACAAGGAAAGAGTGGGGTGTGGGCCCCATGTGGCTCACACAAGACACAAAATATCTCTAAACATGAAATTACCAAATCACCCTTCACATTTGTAAGTCCGTAAAATCTCTATCGTAGCTCCAAATTCGATTCCGCTTGTGCCCACGTGTTTGTATTGTTGAGTACTACACAAATACACTAAAAGAATGAGTCATATGTCTCTCTAAACGATGGTCAATAAAAGTCAAAATTATTGCCTCTAAGGGCATTTTGGTCAATTCACTCTTTTAAAATTAATAAAATCGTAAAATTAGCAATGGGTTGTTAAAAGTGCCACGTAGATAAGAATCCTATTTGAAATTTTCATAAATAATTACATCTCGACACGTGGCACTTGAAAATTTTATTTGAAAATTTATTAAGATTACATAAAGATAAGAAATATGGAGAGTTACTCACTTTAGTGACACGTGTCACTCGAAATCCTATTGGAAAAATTATTGAGATTATATCAAGATAATCCAGAGGCTTATTCATTAGCGATAATTGACTCTCAAAACATGTAGGGAAACCTTGTTTTAATATGATAATTTAATTCTCTGAAAAAAATGGTAGTTTAATTCAATTAACCAATAAAATTAAAGAAAAAACTTTAAATAATAAATTATTGAGGAGGCTAAAAAATAGCCACATTCGGTTGGAGATAGTATAAATATGGTATGGTACTATTCATTAAAAAAATAATTTCTTGCAAGGCTATAATTTGGATGGGAGCTAAACACAAGGTTCTAAAAACACTCGGCGCTAGTTGGACGGCGGGTAAGGGCCTAGCGCCTAGACGGATTTATGTAAATTTATTGTATATGTTGTAGATAAGGGCCTATTTACACTTAAAAATAATAATAAATAATAATAAATAATAAAAATAATAAAAATAATAAAATAATAAAATAATAAAAAAATAAAACTATACTTGTATGGATATTAAAAGAATGATAAAATGCAAAAATAGAAGTAGAAGAATACACAAAGTACATCCATCCAACAAGCTCAATATTTAAAAAACAGTAAGCATATAATCATAATGAGGAATATTCTTGGATGATACACTAAATACTTCTTGTTCATGATCCTTGCATTGGATTGGACTTAGACTAAATTATTTAACCTTGTTGCATCTAGTTTATTTCTTTTCTTTGAATGTATCCCCTCAAAAGTGCTCCAATTCATTTCACAATTGGATGAACTTGTTGTCAATCCATCCTTTGCAAATTAGGCACACCATTTCCTTAAGTATACCACCATGAAACTAAAAAAAGAAAAAAAGCACAATATTAATAAAATAAATATATATAAAAAATAAAAAAACCAAACCACCTAGCTCCAGACCGATTTTTCGAAACGATTAGCACTAAACCGGGGTGGGCCTTCATCGCCTAACACCTAGGAGATGTTTAGGCTGATTTTTAAAATACTGGCTAAACATAACCCCTTCAGTTGGTGATGGCCTTACTATTCAAGGGGAGTGAGTTGCCTATAGCCCGAAGGGGCCTTACTAACTGGAACTGGTCTTACTCATGTCATGGGTTGGAGACAATGAGTTGTGTACGGAGATTTTTCAATGTATCCGAAACACGAGGTGGTATATTAGATGTTCCTATACAAATGATGAGATTCTTGTGTTAAAAAAGTAATAACATTAAAAGTAAAATTTCCCACCACTTATTTAATAACACGTAGTGTACCAATTGTGTTACGGACACAACGAAAAATTTCTTTTGTGCTTGGCGTGATATGCCATCCTCTCAACGCACGTGTATTCGTAGCTTTGCAGGTGGTTTGACAGGGCCCCTCTTGAACTGCTGGGTTCCTTTGGGCTTGCTCAATTGCCCTGACCAATGCTCAAATGATAGAAGTTCGTATGGTTCGTGGTGAAAATTAAATGTTAGACCGAGACCTTTTGAGTTAAAATCCCATACCTAGACGACGTAAGACGGAAGTTCAGTTGGGTGCGAATTCACGCTTCATCTCTTTCCTAAGATAGGTAACTACAAGATATGGCACAACCCACAAAAGCCTTGGGAAAGCATTGGTGTTGATTTACCATCAAATAAATATTACTCGAACTCAAACTTCTACACCTTATAATGCAAAACATGTACAAGGAAAATGATTTTTGCATGCCCCTTTTCACTATTTGCACACCCTTTTTATTCTTCAAACCATTTGATTAAACAAGTCAAAGAAGAATCAATGGCTAGAATTAAGAGATGGTGCGCAAAGATCATCAACCCTATGTAGAATTTTGAGCCTGCGACTCTCACCGCGTTTGTGCAAAGAGCCAAAATTCATTCAAAAAAGTGATCAAATGTAGTAGATGAGGGGCAAGAGTTCCATCAAGTAAAGCAACCTATGAACCAAAAATGTCAAACTTTGCTTCAACCATTCACAAAGTACAAAGAAACCTTATAAAACAAAAGTATATTGATCCATGATCCATAAAACACCATATAAGATTTTGATTTCCTATTGTTAGCGCAGCACCCTTCTCTAAGCCTCTCTGCGGACAAAGTAGAGCTTACCCATGACATGAAGAACGGCAACAAAGGCAATGAAACCAATGCTCATGATGAGAACAACATTCGGGGAGATCTTGAGTCCCGGGGCATCATCTGTGTAGAACTGGAGCATAGTCCCTGCTGCACCTCCTGAAGCCCCACCACTTGTCATCCTCCTCCTCCTCATGCTCGCAGTAGCTGCGGCACTTCCTCTTGGGGGAGCAGCTCCACCGCCTAGGACCATTTTCTGTAACACCAAACCGAATTATAACCTTAATTCAACATACTTGATAAAAATAATAATAATTAAAATAATTAAAATAATTAAAAAAAAACTAAAAGAATAAGAAATATGCAACGGGAAAAAGAAAACTTAAGGAGTTTAAGCCAGATTCAACTCGCTTGGCTGGGAAAAAAAATTATAGTACCTCATTCGGAAAAAGCAACATAGGTTGATTCTACATGTGCAAAATCGAAGAATGTACTCTAATTGAAGTTGGGTAACACAAGAAAGAATGGCATTGGATTTGATTCGTAACCGAATTAAAGACCCGATCAATGATAAACAAAGACATTTGGGATTTTATTGACAGTCATTAGGGTTTCAGAGAAAATAGCGAAGCCGTTTGAGTGCTGATAAATTTTCTACACAAAATCCACCAACTCCATATCTAACTATCTAGAGTCTAAACTAAAAGCACCCAGCTGTGATTCAAACCACAAGAAATGGTAACAACATCCAGAGATCTAAAGAATTGACGAATTCAAATGAAAAATCAAATTTTGAAGCATCAAAATATAATTTAAGTTGCAAATCAACCATCACAATTCATCTAATCAATCAATTTCTAATTCAAATTAATAAAATAAACTCTAATACTCAATTGAGCCATGCAAATCTTGAAATATGCACAAAAATTCAAATCCGAGAATCAGATCCAAGATACAATTACGTAAGCAATACAAAAGAATTCGCAAAATTAAATCACATAAAAATATATAATTGAAGATTGCACGCAGTAGATCTATGATCGCATACGAACAAATGGAAAGAGAGGGAGAGGGGAACGAACCTGAGTCGACCCGGTGGAGAGAACGAGTTGGAATACTAAGGTTTATCGAAGCTGCTGGTTTAAGAGTTCGAAGATCTCCGATGAGCTGAAAAATCCGTTTTATCCTTATTTGGGGAGTGCAAACGCGGTTCTTTTTGTCTACAGGGCTTCCACGCCGATTCAACCAATTATTTTCGGCCACGTGGAATATCGCTTATGCAGTCCTGCCAAGAATGGAAAAGGGGATCAAGATCCTCTCCTGAGCTAAGGGTGATAATCCTCCTAAGTAAGCTCATCGGGTCGTTCAAATTTTATCCAACGGCTACAAGCAGGGAGCCCTTCTAAAAGTTATAATAATTGTAACCGTTGAATAAAATTTGAACGGCCCGATAGGCTTGCTCAGGAGGATCCTCACCCTTAGCTCAGGAGAGGATCTTGATCCTGGAAAAGGATCCTCGCCAAATCCTTTTCCTAGGGATCCTAGGGATCTCGTGATCGTGACCTTCATCATACATCGTGCGGCTAGAAATCATTTCAAAATGTTGTGAAATAGATGATATGTGTGCAGTTAAATATAAAGTAAATAAGACACAATATTCATAAGGTTCAACAAGTGTGCCTACGTCATCGGGGCAGTAACAGTAATCTTTCTCATTATCAAAATGAAATTACAAAAGCAATGGAAAGGGGTGTGCTATCCACACTCTTTTTTACTTCTCAAATACCTCTAGTTAATTTTTGTCCTGTGATCTTCTTTAATTTAGTCGATCTGACGGATGTAAATTAAGAGGGTGTGTATGAAGTAAAAAGGGGTGTGTGGATAACACACCCCCATTGAAAATAATAGATTGTGCATCTTCTCTATGTTATATGTGGGAGAGAATAGACCCTTGTTTCGCAAAATATATAATTCCATGTTAAAACTAAGGACTGTGAAAGTAGCACATGCTATGTTACATGAGGCTGGTAGCACAAATTCAACATCTATTGGCTGTCGGTGCCTATTTCTTCAAGTGGTTCATCTACTTTTATAACACTCCCTTAGATGACCACAAGTTTTTGATTGACTGTCTTCACTAGAACTTCTCTAATAACGCTCTCCTTGATGATATCTCTCCTTGATCTTGGATTAACTAACAAGTCATCAAGTCGATGCATGTCGTGCAATTCTTGAATTTTTGAAGTAGAACTTTGATAGATAGTTGGTGAGGTTGTGTACCATAGCTTTGAATGCGTTTCTCCACTTTCCATTACTTAATTCTTTTTGTGAGCAATATTTATCCAAGTGAGAGAAAGATTCAGATTTTGATTTTCCAATAAGACCATGCCTATTAGCGAGTTCATTGGAATAGAACAAGCACATGTTTTCTCGAAGATATAAATAGGTGTTGGGGCCCAAAAATGTCACACACCAATCCAACTAACTCTCAAGGTCCAATTGTCATGCAAAGCCTACATTCAAGCTAAATGCATGCCAAGGTGCGGGATTGATGAGAAATATATATACAAACATGCCATGTCACAACGATTAAGTCGGATATTCACACCATGCTCATACCTATTCATCACGCCATTCTTCCTTATGCTACTCACTATTCATGCTAAGCTCAAGTCACATATTCGAGGCTTGTTAAGTGGATTGTGGTGTGGATGGTTACGGAAGGTTATTGGGCCTAAGTGGAATCAGGGTTTTGGAAGACTTTGGGTTGCTTGGGAGCCCAAGGATCCAAGCCTATACCTTTTGCATTTCACGTAGGCAACATTGAGAGAGAATTAGCCTAGTTTACCCACTTTCTCTAGCAAGTCAACCCTCTTAGTTAGGACTAAACTAAATTCCTGCATTAAATGCATGCTAAGCCATCAAGTTAGGCATTTAATGCTGACTTTCCCTTCCCAGTTTTCACAGATAACCAATGCGCAAAAGCCATGAGGCGCGCTACCAGAAGTAGAACTTGCGGAAAGCCATCCTGGGAAACCCGCGCCTCGGGAAGAAATAGACTACAAGTCTTAACAATGCAACTACCTTACACCAAAAGGTGAATAATATGAGGGCTAGGGAGAAAGGAAGGGAAGACGAAGCCATAAAGGGAGCTTCTCTTGAAGCCTAGAGAATAACCCTTCACTTACATAAGGAGGAGGGGAAGCCATTAGAGAGAGGGAGATAGAAGATTGGGAGGTAACACAGAGAGAGATAGAGAGAACCACCCAGGAAATAAGCCCAGAAAGTTTCATTTAGCCCAAAAACATACTCCAAGCCTCAAGCATCATCATCCATGCAATCTTAGTAACTTCCACAACCTTCCATTAAAGATCTCAGCCATTAGAAACCTTACTACCACCCTAGGAAAGCTCAGATTATCCAGTGAAGAATGCCATGCAACCATGTAAATCCCTTCTCTATCATGTTAAACCGATAATCTTCTAGCTTCCACACCATGCTTCACTTGAAATAGTCATTATCTTGATCGGTCATGCTATCTTCGAGCCTTTGATGTTACCGGGGTATTTTCTAAGACAAGCTAACTATTTTGAGATATTCCAAGACTTGGTACGAATCCGCACCAAGGCAGACAAGAGGACACTCTCAAAGCCCAAGTCCACCTCGACTTAAAAGTCCCCCAACAATAGGTAAGTTTCATTTCATTCCAATACTCATATATTGGTATTGTGCTTCACAAGAAATGTAACATCTCAGTTGTTTTTACCCAATCTTGTGGATCCACATTATATAAATTTAATATATTTCATGCTATATTAATCACTGTTCTAAAAATCCCCACCTAGCGCCGCCTAGGCACTAGGCAATTGGTGACCGCCCCGATTAATGCCTAAGCATTTGAAAATTAAGAAATCACACCTAGACCTGCTGAGGCGCCCTCCTGGACTGCCTAGACACCCGCTTAGGTTGCGACTCATTTAGACAGAAAATAGATAACTTTCATTTTGTATTTTATTTTTTTCAATAAATTGTAAGAAACTTATCAAATACTTAAATGAATACACATTATATGCTTGTTTCCCATGTTTTTCCTTATATTCCAATACTTCATAATATATATGTCATTCTATTTTATAGTTTATGATGAAATTATATATATTTGAAGTATAAACAAACACTTATTTACACGAAATATAATAGATCTACTTAAATCCGCCTACTATCTGCCTAGGCATTAGGCCCCAACCCGCTGCCCGACTAGCCCCTAGCGTGTTTTAGAACTTGGATATTAATTTGTTCTATTCCTCTTAAGTAAGGTATCCAATTTTTTCTAGGTGGACTCACCATTCTTTTCATCCATGTAATCTACTTCTCCTTGTTCATTATATTGTTCATTTTTTTGTCTTATAAATTGTTGATCTTTTCTTGCAACATATCTTGAATTATTTTGTACTTCTTATGCAACTTTCTTATGCTGGATTTCAATTTTTACTTCTTATAAATTATTATATTCTTTTGATCCTAAAATACGTTCTACTCCTATATCTACAATTATTTTTTTCATTTCTTCATTTGAAATCCTATGTAGTCCTAAATCATATATCTTATCTTTTTCTAAATATTGTTCTTCAATTAAATTATTAATATCTTCCATAAGCTTGTCTATAATATGATCAAAATTTTGCTTAACTAAATTAATATCTAAATTATCAAAAATCATATGTATACTTTCTCGATTACTTTCATTTTCACTCTCATCTTCTTCTAAATTTTCTAATTGCTTGTAATTACTAAATTTACTTGCTACTTCTCTTGTACAAGTTTCATATATTTGTACACTATCTGATTGCCTATTTCTTGCTACTTGTAAATTATGTAATGTCCATTGAGTTCCTTCTCAAAAACTAATATTTATAGGTGTGTTATTATTTACGGTTTTGCTTCTATCATATTTATATATTTACTACCAAATGTCTAAACTAAATTTTGGAACTCTAAATTCAACTTATGATTATATTTATCAAACAATATTCCTATGTATATTAAGCTAATACATAATTGTTTTGGTAAATTACATAAAACTACCTCAACTATTGGGTCATTAACAGTTTCATACCTCATCTTTAAAAAGTTTCAATGTCCTACCTTATATTTGAATTTGTTGCAATGTCATACCTTTTGTCAATTGTCTGTCAATTCTTCTATTAAATGCTAGCATGGCTTGAGGCGGAACCCATTTTTTATTAAAAATTTAATAAGAAATTAATAAAATAATAATTTACCCAAAAAAAAAAAAAACCCTAAACACCATCTTCCTTGCAACCCAAATCCAAAACTCAGACCTTTCCCCTTCCCCTTCCCTGCAACCCCTGACCCCTTCCCCACCCACGCCAACATCTCCCCCCCAGACCCATCTCTTCTTTCTCTGCCGCCGACCCCCACTTTTCATCGTCTCCTCCAACGACCCGACGCACTCAGACGACTCATACAGCGGCTCCACCGTCATCCCTCATTGACGTCAAACCACCACCATGACCCAATGTTTCTCATGGAGCAAAACCCAAGTCTTTGCTTGGTGATTTTTAAACCCCAAGCCATCAAATCGAAGATCCCCATCTCAGACCCGACTTCCCACGACAAAGTTCTCGTTGTTTTCGATAATGGTAAACCTCAAAATTACCTTAAGAAATCGTACTCCAAAAATGAAATTTTATATATATAAAAGGATTCTATACATAAACGAACTCAAAATTGAAGAAGATGAGGATTTAAATGGTGGTTTTGGTGGTCGGAGTTCTGGCGATGGCGTCATATTACGCGAAGGTAACGTACGACCACAGAGCGCTGGTGATTGCCGGGAAGCGTAGGGTTTTGGTGTCTGGCTCCATTCACTATCCTCGCAGCACTCCCAAGGTACTTTTCTTCCTCGCGTTTTTCCATTTATCCATTTTTTTCTGTCTGAATTTTGCTTTGTGTGTCTTTGGTTGCCGATGTGGCCGGACCTTATTCAGAAATTAAAAGACGGAGGCTTGGACATGATCAAGACCTACGTCTTCTGGAACTTGCACGAACCAGTTTGAGGCCAGGTCTCTCTCTCTCCTAGCATTTGTTGAATTTTTCATTTCCAATGCGACGCCATTTGGTTTTTATGAAAATGTGGGAA